TAAGAGGCCAGGACCTTGAGAACATCCCATTGGAGCTAAGCGGAGGCAAAGAGAAGAACTGTGGGGTTAGAAAGCCCTCGCTACTCCAGGCTGGGCTGGAGCAGGAACGCAGCTAAGTGGAGAATGACCTCATCTTGTCCAACAGCCTCAGATTTTTGTCCCAGGCCAGGAAACTTTTGACAACAGGATCCTCTATGTACAGGGCCCTGGCATTAGGTTGTGTACCAGAGTAAGCTTCAATGGGAACTAAATAGCAGGGTAGAGAGCCAGATCTCCCTTGGAGAAGGTTCTGGATAGAGTCCAGGGTAAGGCAGATGGAAAGAGGACAGAAACATTCACTGGGCAAGACTCTACTCTTTGACCTGAGACTTGACAGAGATGTGACTGAAATGAATGAAAAGTTGGGTGGCAGCTGGAGATCTCTGTTATTATGAACTTTGAATAACCCACGAGTGCACAGCATTATGTCCGAACGCACCAGATCAGAATCAGAGACTTACTCAGGTCGTTTTCTCACTTGATAGTCACATCAGTGTGTGAATATGTCCAGGATGAGGACATTTTGAGTATCTGCAAAAGCTCAGTTTTACAGAGGGACAGTTGGAACCAAGTTCTCTGATCCCAAGTTGGGACCTTTTTAAAGTATTGTGTAAGCCTCTGACATCTAAGAGTCTCTGAGGGAAGCTGGGTCCTGAGTTCTCCAGGCACGGGAGCTCAGAGCTAGCAGGGCATCTTTGCCATTGGAAAAGTGCAGGAATTGGAAGTTTCTTCTTTGTGTAAAACACAGGATTGGAGGGCATTAACCAGGGTCTCTCCCCACCTGGTAGCCTGAGGAAGACCTCATGGTGCTCTGGTCACAACAAGTAGGTACCATCTCTTCTGCTTCATCTGAGCCCACACCGTGTCTCCACATCCCAGGGTGCTTAGGCTCAGGGTCCAGCTCCTCCAGCTCCTCTTCTGAAACAGATGAGCACTCCCTCTTCCTCTTTTGGCCAGAGGACTTAGTCTGGGGACTGAGTCCAAAAAACAGACTTCCTCCAGCTCCTCCTTTGAACCTGATGACAACTCTCTCTTCTTTTTCTGCCTGGAGAATTGAGGTAGGAGGCTGGGGTCTACCCATGGGACTCAGTAAAGAAACTTGAGTAGAACCATCTAAGCTCAATTCACCTCCCAAACCCCAATTTGGGGTTTGTTCCATTTCCCTGTTCCTCAAAACTTTTGCTCATTATGCACACTCACTGTCATGGGGGGAGTGACCCTACTTACATCCCCTTAACCCCCTTTCTTCTGTGTGGTTCACATCTCCCAACCTAATTCCTTTCTTTGTAGGTTTTCCATCCATGTGGACTTCCTTATCCCATGTCCTGTTGCTCCTCCAAAACCAAGTTTCCTGAGTCCATCTTTCTGATTTTTCTACCCTTTTCTTTCTTTTTTTTTCTAGTCATCTCAAATCTCTTGTTGCTCCGGCTCCTTTGCCTGATGGTCCTGGGACTTTATCATCCACCACCACCTTCAGGCTGTACCTTGAGGTGCTAAGCTGGGAACTCTGGTCCTCAGACTGGGAGAATGATTGACAAGTGGCTATGATTTCTCATACACTCTCTTCCTTTCCAAACAAAGTATACTCTGATCTGCCCAAACACTTTTTCCAGAATCTGGTTGAACTCAAACCCATTTGTGCTTCTCCAAACAGGGGAGAAATCAATGGTGGAGAACAACCCTGAGAAGAAACTGTTGACCACTGTGCTACCAAGGACCCATGGAGTCGGACCCTTTCAATCAGGAAGGTTGGAAGCCTCTGTTGTCATTGCTCATTCCAACCTGGTACCCAGTTTGAAGGAAAACACCTGTAACTGACAGACTGGTATGTGCACCTGTCCTGGAGTTCCAGGGTAGGAGGTATCTATGCCACTGACCCTAAGTCTGTCCATCATGTCTAACTGTCCTCCAGGTCTTCAGCTCCCTCTTTCACTTCTCCCCAAAACATGCCTCCTTCTCTCAACTCTCCACTCGAAACATGCTGTATTCTCCTTCTCCCGTGCACTCCCACTTCAGAATTCAGTCTGGTGTGAGAAGGGAGAGAATGGCAAGGAAATGTAGGGAAAGAGGAAATGACAAGACATCCCAAGAGAAAAATAACTATGTAAGAAATATCTCAGGTACACTGAATTTTCTGCTGAAAAAGTTAAATAAAATAACTTGATTTTCAAGTTATTCTAAGTATCACTGACCTTCATTCAATTTAGGAATCTGCACTCGTGATACATCCTAAAGCATCTTTAAGTTCCGGAGATATTTTGAGGACCTAAATCATTGAAATCTCTACATATGCTCACACACTCTTCAAACAGTGTCTAAAATTTCAGGGAGTCGATGGAACACCTCAAGCCTGCCTCTATACTCCAATTAATCTCTAACCTACTTAGCAATTTGGGAGCACAGCTACTGCTCTTGACCTAGATAGTTCAGTACCACTTAAGTACCCTAAGGAAAATGTCGCATGTACAAAAAGAACAAATGGAAATATCCACCATTCTATAGAGATGATTTTTTTTTCTAAGAAGGTGGAAAGCATGTGGCATGTGACACAGCACTCAATGGAAATGGGGATCTCATTCCAAACTTTCTTAGGCCTCTGCTGTCCACCTAAGTAGCTGAGTTGTGCTTTGTCTTTCTCAATAAAAGTTATTGTTAAAAATACACAAAACTTAATATTTTAACCTTTGTAAAGTGTAGAGTTCAGTGGCATTAAGTATAACCATGTGTCACTCAGAGAAGAAGGTACATTCCCAGAAATGTGTTGTTAGTCGGTTTCATTGCTGTGCAAACATTGTACAGTGCTCTTAGGCCAAACTGAGATGGCTATGGCATCATTATAATAGGATATCAAATTTTGGAACCAATTCATAGATGTGGTGCATTGATTGGTCCATTATTTGCCAAAATGTCATCATGTGAAGCCTGACTATACATTTTCCTTGTGCAACAATCATGATTCATCTCCAGAGCTTTTTAATCACTCTAACCAGAGACTCTGCACCCATAAAACAGTAACTCCCCACTTTTCCTCCCACAGCACCCACTGACCACCATTCTACTTTCTGTCTCTATGAATTTAACAACTCTTGGTGCCTTATCTGTCTTGTGGACTCACACAAGTACTTATTTTTGTGTGTCTGGCTTATTTAGTTTGTGCATTGTCCTCAAGGTCCTATATTGTTGAGGATGTGTCAGCTTTTCCTTCTTTCTTTTTTTTTTGGTCCAAATTAATGGTTTTATTTACATCTTTAACACTAGCAGAGGAGTCCAAAACAGACTGATGTCCATTGATACAGTTTCAATGTAACAAAGAGCTAAACTATGTACAGTGAGGAAAGGGACTTTTCCCCCACACCAGTCTTTTCCTAATTAGCAGTTTCTCATTAGTAGAAACTAAAGACACTTTTTTTCGCAGTTTAATTTAGGATGAAGTAATGCAACTTTTATAATTCATCACGTAAGTTGTCTTGTAAGGATAGAATACTAAGAAAATTTTAAATGTGTGTCACCACCTCTATGGGTTGACAGCTTCGCAGTCACCTCGGCCCTTGAAGTCTGGTGTCATTACAATTTAACAAGAGCACTTCCATGAGGCCCAGAGGGGACTTCATGGCCATGATGTCCAGCGGGAGGCAGGCATGCAGCATGATAATGAGCACAGAAGCTACCATCCTCTTTCAACTCCATAAGGAAAATCCTGACTCTCATTCAAATTAACTGGAAGTGAGCCAGGCGGCAGAGAAGTCAGTGAAGAATGAAACCTTTCTTTCAGGAGAGTGCACTGAAGGTCAGTTATTGCTAGCAAAGCCAGAAAAGCTCCTTTCCCACCAGAAAGGTGTTTCACATGGAAAGGCTGTTGGTTTGGCTTGAAGCCCTCTGAAGGAGGGTGTGGCAGCAGAGGCTGGCCCATACTGCACGGGAGGCCTCTCCCCTACTAGCCACCCCCAGCATCTCAGGGGCAGTCTGGATCGCCTTGTTGCCAAGGCTCCCATACACCTATGGAGCAGAGGTTGTCATCAGGCCCTTGCAGAGAAAGAGCCACCACCATGCTCTGCCAACAACCTTTAGAGCTGTCAAAAGCCCAAAGGGTCACAGCCTAGCTGGCCAGAAGAAGAGCTTCTGAAATGTTGACTATGGGGGAAGGTGAGAAGCCAAGTCAGGGCCAGGTCCAGTGGGCCAATGTCTTTGAAATAGGGGTGCCAGCGACGTGGGCAAAAGCATGGCAGTGAGCATCTGATAAGGCCCCAGTTACTGCCCCCACCTCCTGGTATCTACACTGGGCAGACATAGGCAGTAGGAACTGAGGAACTGAGGACTGGAGAGCAGGTGGCCAACACAGGACAGATTTTATCAGAAAAAGAGAGGACACCCAAATACATGCCTGCCCTATTGGCCTCGAATGTCCTGTGCCAGGTGGAGAACTTTGGAGCACGGGTGAGGTTCCTGAGAACAGTTGGTGAGCAGAGACAGGATGGGATAGGCACTGCTCCACAGGCCACTGCTGCACCTAGAACCCTTGGGATGAGTGGACTGTGTCTGGCTTGGTTACTGTGTGGTAGACAGAATGGTCAACTGACAGGTGCCCAGGAAGGTTGTGTGCCTGGGAGAGATAGGGCAAGCTTTCCAAACAGGGAAACTTCTTGGCAAACGTAGGCCCAGAAAAGCTGGAACCACAATTTTCAACTCCAATGTCCTGACTCTTTCTCCTACTCTGGGATGAAACTACCTCAGAGGAGCAAAGATAAGGAGCCAGATGGGGAGGGCCCCTGGTCCAGCTCCAGAGCATCAGATGAGATTACAAAAGGATCTAAGGAGGGTGGGTTAGAAATAAAAGAGAAGTTTACATATAAGATGTTGGTTTTAAACAGTCTTTTTGAGCTCAGGAAATTGAAGGCAGATACCATGTGAAGAGCCCAGCCAGGCTGTCTGTCCATCCGTCTCTCCTGAGCAGCTCTGAAACTTCATATATAAATGGGGTGGCACCGTTTGTGGTTGATCTTTTTCCTACAAGTTGGGCAAGTATTAGCATTCTTTAGGGAATCACGGAGGCACTGGCAACAGAAGACGTGGCCACACTCTGTAGAGACAATGACACGTCCATTCTGCACCATCTCTGAGTATCTGTCCATGCAGATGGGACAACCGACGGTACCAGAGGGCCTGAGTCCTGTGGCCCCCTCGTCCCTGGCGTTTCTGGGAGTGTGGGTGGTTCCATACACATCTCTGTCTCTGGACAACTCCTTGTCATCACTGCTCACCACGCAGCTGTTGGCATGGTCTTGGCGTAGCCTCCTTGCGTTCCTCCTTGGCCTCCTCCTTTCGTCAACAATTTCAATAGAGTCATTGTGAGTCAGGTCCACCACCACAGGCTCTAAAGATTCTCAAGTGAGGTCCACGATTTCATCTCCAGCAGTTTCCACGAGTTCTATGGGTTCTGCTTCCAAGGAAATCTCAGGGGTGCAGGCTGCCTCCCGAGTTCGCTTCTGGGCTTGTCTAGAACTTACAGTTCCACCACGATGCTTTCTCTGAGGGTATTGTACTCATTATGATCCTTGGCTCCAACCTACAGAAAGGGAAGAGATCTCTACCCAGGTTTGCAGCAAAGCAGAATATTCAACCTCTCATGCCCACTGGTTACTCATCCTCTGGCTTAAAAGAATTTGGAGCCAGGCAGATTTCAGTATCTTCGAGTCCTGTCCCAGGGTTTGGCTGTTCTGGCAGGCGCCACCGCCAACACTTTTCCTTCTTTCTTAAAGGTGATAGTCCAATTTGTAGATAGCCTACACCTTTTGTCCATCTATCCATCTATCTGCAGGCATTGGGTTGCTTCCACATTTGGGCTCCAAGTCTTTTTTTTTTTTTAATCCACTGTTGGACCTTATTGATAAGAAGCACATCTGTTATTCATGTTGTGCCTGAGGTTTACTTTGTATGTGAATGTCTTCCATGATTCTAATGATACCATGCTAAACAGGAGTGAAGTCAAGTTGGTTCATGCCACAAGCTGGGAGTGAGCATCCACCAGGTTAGGAAGTCATAGGTTCACAGTTGAATGAGGTCCCAAAGACCTTACAAGAGAACTGTGAGTTCCTCTGCATCATCCTCATAAGCCTGAGCTTCCCACTGAGTCTCTCCCTGATGGGACAGGAATGTCAAGAAGTAGGTCCTAGGGGCTGGGACTGTGGCTCAGCGGTAGAGCGTTCACCTAGCACGGGTGGGACCTGGGTTCCATCCTCAGCATCACATAAAAATAAAGTCATTGTAATAAAAAAAAGAAGTAGGTACTATTGCTGTAGAAGACCAATTGCCAGTATGCTCTGATTATCCAATTTTCATTCATAACACCTTCAACCATCAGAACTGGTTAGGTCCACTCACAGCAACTCAGAAGTTCACATACTCTCTCTGGTGGACAACTTTCTTTCTTTCTTTTCTTTTCTTTTTTTTTTTTTGGGGGGGGGGGGGATCAGGGATTGATCTCAGGGATACTCTACCACTGAGCCACATCCCCAGCCCTATTTTGTATTTTATTTAGAGACAGGTTCTCATTGAGTTGCTTAGCACTTCACTTTTGCTGAGGCTGGCTTTGAACTCACAATCCACCTGATTCAGCCAACCAAATCACTGGGATTACAGGTGTGTGCCACCATGCCCAGCTTAATGGACAGTTTTCTAATGCACTCATGTGCCAGTGACTGTTTCAGTCAATGATGTACTACATATGCATATGCCCAATAGGATTACATTGCTTAAGGAAATTGGAGCCATATTAGTTTGTGTAAGTGCATTCTGATTTCCCACGATGATGAAATTTCCTAATGGCATGTTTATTAGATCTTATCTCTTAAGTGCTGAATGACTATGTAGTATCAATATTCTGGTCCCACTAAAGTTTATCTTCTGGACCATGAAAAGCCTCACTTATTTCAGCCACAATTCAACTCCTTTTTGGCATATTCCTATCTCTTCTGTCCATCTGGTCTAAACATGCTACAATTCAGCAGTACCCATCCTTTATTTTATTATTATTATTATTATTATTATTATTATTATTATTATTTGCATACCAGGGGTTGAACTCAGGGGCACTCAGCCACTGAGCCACATCCCCAGCCCTATTTTGTATTTTATTTAGAGACGGGGTCTCACTGAGTTGCTTAGTGTCTCACTTTTTTCTGAGGTGGGCTTTGAACTCAAGATCCTCCTGATTCAGCCTCCTGAGCTGCTGGGATTACAGGCATGCACCACCACTCGCACCCAGCTCAGCAGTGCCCATATATTGGTACTTTGTCCAAAAATGGAGTAAACTCCCAGGTTTCTTCACCTCTCCACTTCTCTTTTCCTCCTATGGATGCAGTCTGAAGCAATAATGATGAGAGTCATACCAGAGTGAGATCAGCATGAACAGAAATTCTTTGCAAATACCAGCCTTTCAGCATAAGGTCACATGGAGAATCACCACACTACAGGTGCCTGGTCCTAGCTTCATAGACTCTAAATGAATGAGACTGACAATGTTTTCATGGATGTATTTTCAAATTTGGAAATCTCTGATTGAGGAAGGCAACGAAGATCCTAAAGAAATTAAAATCACTATAGAAGGAAATAAATAGGAAATATTTTTGTAGGTAGACAAGGTATAATGAGGACCTGACAGTTTAGAACTCTGACATGCCTTAACTCTTCCACTGAGGGGGACCCTCTGAACCAGGCTGCAGTCCTCTTGGAGTTGACAGTCCCTGACTCAGCTTTGGGGTCTATATGAACAGGAGACTTACAAGGAAGCTCCAACCACCTCCTCCCCAGAAGGTTCTCCATGCCTTGCTGAGTCTGTTTCTCTCACCTTTCTGTCATCTAGCGAGTCAAGGTCTCTGGACTTCAAAGAGAATTTCCCCTCTGTGACGCAGAGAACCAGTGAAACCCTTTGGAAAAAGAGAATGAGTGCCAAAGGTAGACTTTTGATGCTTTTGCCCAATATGAATTCAAGGGGTCCAGTTTACTGCCCCAAATGAAACAAGTTTAAAAAACGGGCAAAATATATGGAATGTAATTTCTCAGGAATTTAGATTTCTGAGAGAAGAGGCAAGCCCAGAGAGAGCCCAGCTCACTGGCCAGATAGGGAGTCTCCAATCTACACAGCAGGAGTGTACATGGGGCCAGCAGTGTCCCTGAACAGAAAGGAGAGAGTATCTAAGGAGATATGGTGGCCAGAGGTCACACAGAACTAAAAAGGAGCAAGGTGAAGAGACTCTCAGTCTTGGGTTGCATGAGGTGGGAGCACAGTAAGAGGTGAGAACTAGGGTCCAGGCAGATTCAGGCTCGACCCTTCTTTAACATATGGCTTCCTAGACATCCAAGCATGGCTTCTGTCCTCTCCTTGATGCAGAAAAGAACATAGAGAAATGACCCTGGAAGTTGGACATGTGGTCTCTCTGTCACCATTGTCACTTTTAATCCCTCAACAAGGACTTAGACCAGGCCATGCTCAACAACAGCAAGGGCTGGTCAAGAGGTTCCAGACCTCCCCCACAACTGCCTCCAGGTAGCAGCGCTGGACAAGCTCACACTTGTGCAGGATGAGCTGAATTCCACAGATGGGCTGGGGACACCAAGCTATCAACACGGGTTATGCACTCACTCACTGGGGATGAACTAGTACTTAGTACTGAGGAAATAGGATTTAGATGGCATTGCACACAGTGGCAGATGGCACAGCCTAATTATTATTATGGAGGCCTGCAAAAGGATGGCTGTTTAATTCAAGACTTTGCTGAAAGTTATGGGAAGACTTGATAGTGTCCTTTAAAGGCATAAATATAGTGGAAAATCCCTAAATTCTCAACCCAAGCAGGCTCTACAATTCTTTGTATATAATAATATATTTTTCCACTTGTAGATATGAACAAATTGACAGGATGAGCTGTCAATATCATACTCTATTAAGCTGAAACTTGGTGAGAATCTGTACACAATTTGATATATTTATTAATAGCCAGAGTTATCATGGTAATCAAAAGGGATATGTTGAGAATGTCATAGGACCTTTGGTACCCAGCAAACAAACCTGTGTATTGACTACTACAAGCCAGGTACACCAGCCTCTGGCCTTTGTTTCTGATTGAGCTGGCCCTACTGTCAGGTTTCATACCTGCAGTCCTGAGGCTTATTTGCCCTGAACTATCATCTACACTCTATCCTCTACAAAAGGTAACCCATCAGATCCCAGTGTGGATTCAGGAGGAGAGAGTGAAGGAGTTAAGTATTCAGTTATTCTAGAAAGAGAGAGTTTACCCATGGAAGGAACTGGAGACCTCCAGACCTTCTTTGATATAGTTTGAATCTGAAAGGCTTGGTCCCCAGCATGATGCTTCAATGAATGAAGTGATGGGACATTTAGTAGTTCCTTCCTTAATTGAAGGAAGTTGTTCATTGGGCTGAGCTCTAGAAGTAGGTAGTATGATCTCAGCCTCTTCCCCCACCCCTGCTGTCCTGGGAACTGAACCCAGGGCCTTATGCACGCTTGGCAGGCACTCTAGCACTGAGTCACATCCATGCCTCTTTCTCCCTTGCTTCCTGGCTGCCTAAGATAAGGAGCTTTGCACCTCTATATGCTGGCCATCAGGCCCTTCTCCTCACCAAGCCCCAGAACAATTGTGCAATCTGTACATTTTTTTTTTAGTTTGAATCTTGGAATGCTTTTCCACTGAGCTATATCCCTAGTTATTTATTTCTTATTTTTTATTTTGTGAAAAGTTCTAAGTTGCCTAGGCTGGCTTTGAACTTGGGAACCTCCTACCTCAAGCTCCCAAGTTGTAGGGTCTCCCAATTTTACAGGTGTGCACCACCAGGACAGGCAACCTGTCCTCTTCTTACATTGATTATTGAATGTATTTTATTCCAGTAACAGAATGCTGACTAATACATTTATTGACTCAGTAATTAAAAAATTGGAGTTTTTTTTCAGGGCATCTACATAGATTCAGCAGACATTTGACTAAGAAGGGAAAACTCAACTTTAAGTGAGAGCACATATATGAATCTGGGATGCTTGACTCAGAATCTGAATATAAAATGCTGCTTCCTAAGCTTTTGTTACTCAGCTTAGTAAAGGGGTTCTTACCATGTTTCGCTGATTGAGTCAAAGTTGGAGCAGAGAAGAGAGAGATGCAATTATACTGAGCTGCCAAGCAGTGCCTTGGCCTTTGTTGAAAGACTCACTGTTCTGAATTTCATGTGTTCATGGTGAAAATCTTTGATTTTTTTTCAGACTTTAGTTCCTTCATCTTTAAAATGTGACAGTGTATTCTACTTCAAGAACTTCTGGAGACACATCACCCCAATTGGAGGAGGGGCAGAGCCGCCGCCCACGCCTGCAAGGTAGGCAGACCTGCGACCGACCGTGAGAACAGGCCCAGCGGCCCGCCAGCATGGTAGACACATCACCCCAATTGGAGGAAGGGCCCAGCCGCCGCCTGCAAGGTAGGCAGACTGCCCGTCCCGGAGAAGGGGCCCAGCGGCCCGCCGGCCTAGTTGAAAGATCACCCCAATTGGAGGAGGGGCACAGCCGCCGCCTGCGCCTGGAAGGTAGGCAGACCTGCAACCTGGAGAACAGGCCCAGCAGCCCACCAACGTGGTAGACAGATCACCCCTATTGGAGGAGGGGCCCAGCCGCTGCCCGCAAGGTAGGCAGACCACGCAACCCGGAGAAGGGGCCCAGCGGCCTGCCAGCGTAATAGACAGATCACCCCAATTAGAGGAGGAGCACAGCCGCCGCCCGCACCTGCAAGGTAGGCAGACCTGGGACCTGGAAAACAGGCCCAGCGGTCCCCCCTCCAAGCTGTAGACAGATCACCCCTATTGGATGAGGGGCCCAGCCACCGCCTGCAAGGTAGGCAGACCGCGAGTCCCGGAGAAGGGGCCTAGCGGCCTGCCGGCGTGGTAGACAGATCACCCCTATTGGAGGAGGGTCCCAGTGGCCGCCTGCAAGGTAGGCAGGCTGTGTGTCCAGGAGAAGGGGCCCAGCGGCCCACTGGCGTGGTAGACAGAGCACCCCAATTGGAGGAGGGGCACAGCCGCCGCCTGCGCCTGCACGGTAGGCAGACCTGCGACCTGGAGAACAGGCCCAGCGACTTGCCTGAGTGGTAGACAGACCTCCCCAGTTAGAGGAGCCCAGCCTCCCACCGGTGAGGTAGACAGACCACTCCAACTGGAGGAGGGGCCCTGCCGCCCGCCCGTGCGGTCACCTGACCGAGCTCTTGACAAACATAAGGTTTCCCCAACACCCCCACCTCATCAAACACCTTATGAGAAAAACTGATGGAACTCATCTTGGAAAATCCCACCAACCCTTAAAACCCACCAACCGGTTGACTGGCGTGGCTACCAGTGCGGTTCTGCAGCAGCTCAGGCACCTGGTTTACATCTCAGAGAATAAGAGTAGAGAGGCTACAGGTGGAAGCTCAAGTCCTCTCACACCGACTACCATCACCATCCTGAACCCAGATGATGGGTTATAGGAATAGACAACGCCACCAACTGGAAGAAATGAAAACAGAGTTCTGAGAGACATTTTTTTCTTTTTTTCTTTCTTTTTCTCTCCTCTCTCTCTTTTCAGCCATTCACCCAGTCTCCTCTACCCTTCCCCCTCGGGTCTTCGCAACCTCAACATATGTGAAACCAAAAATTGTACATGAAAAAGGTCTTTAACAACTGAATCACCAGAATAATATACTATAGAGGAATTGCATATGCCCCACCTCCCTCACCCCTTTTTATTCCTTTTCTTTTTTCTCATATTTTCCTTTTCCCGCTCTCTTTTTTCTCTCCCTTGCCTTGCTATCTGTTTTCCTCCCTCCTACTCCCTCTATCCCACTTGCAACCCCCTAAATTCTACTATTCATAAGTAGGGTAATCTTATAAATACAGATAGGAATTTGAATCTATACATTCTTCCATAAATTACCCATCTGTTGGTTAGAGCTCTCCAAAGTTACTAAGTTAGATTAACCCCATACCCTGACTCCTATCCCCATAAACATAACATCCTACACCTGAAATCCAGTTTTCTTCAAGCTACCAGAAATGGTATGCCTTTCATGAAACTAATGACTATATTTGTAAACGATAATTGTAACCAACATTTGTAGACATAGAGTCTAGCTATAAATGTAGTAATAAGGAAAACGTGTGCTTAGATGATGTACTATTGATATTGAGAACTGTTAACATTGTCTTTCTCCACAAAAGGGAGACGTTGCAACTATACAAGAGCAATATAAATATATAGGGGGAAAATTCAATAACACAACAGTTTCACCAAGCAGAAAGAAATGCAAGCAGTATGAAAAGACAAGGAAAGAAAGGACCACAAGCAATGCAGGTCAACTCAACTTTAGAAGAGGTAATATGTGCAGCAGATGGAATGTCAGATAAAGAATTCAGGATATACATGCTTCAGATGATCTGGAGTCTCAAGGAAGACATTAGACAGCAAAATCAGACAATGAAAGATCACTTCGACAATGAATTACATAAACAAATCCAAGAAGCAAAAGATCAACTATACAGGGAGATAGAGGTTATAAAAAACAAACAGAAATCCTATAAATGCAGGAAGCACTAAACCAAATTAAAAACTCAAATGAGAATACTACCAGCAGAGTAGAACACTTAGAAGATAGAATATCAGACAATGAAGACAAAGTATTTCAACTTGAAAAGAACATAGACAGCTCAGCGAGACTGTTAAGAAACCATGAGCAGAACATCCAAGAAATATGGGATAACATAAAGAGACCAAACTTAAGAGTCATTGGGATACAGGAAGGTATAGAGGTCCAAACCAAAGTAATGAGCAATCTGTTCAACGAAATAATACAAGAAAACTTCCCAGACTTGAAGAATGAGACAGAATCCCAAATCCTAGAAGCCTACAGGATGCCGAATGTGCAAAATTATAAGATATCCACACCTAGACACATTATAATGAAGATGCCCAACATACAGAATAAGGAGAGAATTTTAAAAGCTACAAGAGAAAGGAAGCAGATTACATTTAGGGGTAAACCAATCAGGATAACAGCTGATCTTTCAACACAGACTCTGAAAGCTAGAAGATCCTGGAACAACACATTTCAAATGCTGAAAGAAAATGGGTTCCAACCAAGAATTGTGTATCCAGCGAAATTAAGTTTCAGGATGGAAGATGAAATTAAAACCTTCCACGATAAACAAAAGTTAAAAGAATTTGCAGCTAGAAAACCATCTCTTCAAAACATCCTCGGCAAAACATTACAGGAAGAGGAAATGGAAAATAACGATGAAAACCAACAGTGGGAGGTAGTACAGTAAAGGGAAAAAATAATCAAAGAGGAAAAACAAACCATGTTAAGTAACATAAATAAACAAATATGGCTGGAAGAACAATCCATATCTCAATAATAACCCTAAATGTTAATGGATTAAACTCACCAATTAAGAGACACAGGCTAGTAGAATGGATCAAAAAAAAAAGATCCAACAATATGCTGCCTACAGGAGACGCATTTGATAGGAAAAGACATACATAGACTGAAGGTGAAAGGTTGGGAAAAATCATATCACTCATACGGACTTCGGAAACAAGCAGGAGTGTCCATACTCATATCAAATAAAATAGATTTCAAGCCAAAGTTAATCAAAAGGGATAAAGAGGGACACTACATACTGCTCAAGGGAACCATACACCAACAAGACATAACAATCATAAATATATATGCCCCAAACAATGGTGCAGCTATGTTCATCAAACAAACTCTTCTCAAGTTCAAGAGTCTAATAGACCACCATACAATAATTATGGGAGACTTCAACACACCTCTCTCACCACTGGACAGATCTTCCAAACAAAAGTTGAATAATGAAACTATAGAACTCAATAATACAATTAATAACCTAGACTTAATTGACATATATAGAATATACCACCCAACATCAAGCAGTTACACTTTTTTTCTCAGCAGCACATGGATCATTCTCAAAAATAGATCATATATTATGTCACAGGGCAACTCTTAGACATTATAAAGGAGTAGAGATAATACCATGAATCTTATCTGATCATAATGGAATGAAACTGGAAATCAACGATAAAAGAAGGAAGGAAAAATCATGCATCACTTGGAGAATGAACAATAGGTTACTGAATGATCAATGGGTTATAGAAGACATCAAGGAGGAAATTAAAAAATTCTTAGAGATAAATGAAAACACAGACACAACATATCGGAATCTATGGGACACAATGAAAGCAGTTCTAAGAGGAAAATTCATTGCTTGGAGTTCATTCCTTAAAAAAAGAAAAAAACCAACAAATAAATGATCTCACACTTCATCTCAAAATCCTAGAAAAAGAAGAGCAAAACAACAGCAAAAGAAGTAGAAGGCAAGAAATAATTAAAATCAGAGCTGAAATTAATGAAATCGAAACAAAAGAAACAATTGAAAAAATTGACAAAACTAAAAGTTGGTTCTTTGAAAAAATAAATAAGATCGACAGACCCTTAGCCATGCTAACGAAGAGAAGAAGAGCGAGAACTCAAATTACTAGCATACGGGATGAAAAAGGCAATATCACAACAGACACTTCAGAAATACAGATGATAATTAGAAATTATCTTGAATCCTTATACTCCAATAAAATAGAAGATAGTGAAGGCATCGATAAATTTCTTAAGCCATATGATCTGCCCAGATTGAGTCAGGAGAATATAGACAACCTAAACAGACCAATATCAATTGAGGAAACAGAAGAAGCCATCAAAAGACTACCAACTAAGAAAAGCCCAGGACCTGATGGGTATACAGCAGAGTTTTACAAAACCTTTAAAGAAGAACTAATACCAATACTTTTCAAGCTATTTCAGGAAATAGAAAAAGAGGGAGAACTTCCAAATTCATTCTACGAGGCTAACATCACCCTGATTCCTAAACCAGACAAAGACACTTCAAAGAAAGAAAACTACAGACCAATATCTCTAATGAACCTAGATGCAAAAATCCTCAATAAAATTCTGGCGAATCGGATACAAAAACATATCAAAAAAATTGTGCACCATGATCAAGTAGGTTTCATCCCTGGGATGCAAGGCTGGTTCAATATACGGAAATCAATAAATGTTATTCACCACATCAATAGACTTAAAGATAAGAACCATATGATCATCTCGATAGATGCAGAAAAAGCATTCGACAAAGTACAGCATCCCTTTATGTTCAAAACTCTAGAAAAACTAGGGATAACAGGAACATACCTCAATATTGTAAAAGCAATCTATGCTAAGCCTCAGGCTAGCATCATTCTGAATGGAGAAAAATTGAAGGCATTCCCTCTAAAATCTGGAACAAGACAGGGATGCCCTCTCTCACCACTTCTGTTCAACATAGTTCTCGAAACACTGGCCAGAGCAATTAGACAGATGAAAGAAATTAAAGGCATAAAAATAGGAAAAGAAGAACTTAAATTATCAGTATTTGCAGTTGACATGATTCTATACCTAGCAGACCCAAAAGGGTCTACAAAGAAACTATTAAAGCTAATAAATAAATTCAGCAAAGTGGCAGGATATAAAATCAACATACATAAATCCAAGGCATTCCTGTATATCAGCGACAAATCTTCTGAAATGGAAATGAGGACAACCACTCCATTCACAATATCCTCAAAAAAAATAAAATACTTAGGAATCAACCTAACAAAAGAGGTGAAAGACTTATACAATGAAAACTACAGAACCCTAAAGAGAGAAATAGAAGAAGATCTTAGAAGATGGAAAAATATACCCTGTTCATGGATAGGCAGAACTAACATCATCAAAATGGCGATATTACCAAAAGTTCTCTATAGGTTTAATGCAATGCCAATCAAAATCCCAACGGCATTTCTTGTAGAAATAGAGAAAGCAATCATGAAATTCATATGGAAAAATAAAAGACCCAGAATAGCAAAAACAATGCTAAGCAGGAAGTGTGAATCAGGCGGTATAGCGATACCAGACTTCAAACTATACTACAGAGCAATAGTAACAAAAACAGCATGGTACTGGTACCAAAACAGGTGGGTGGACCAATGGTACAGAATAGAGGACACAGAGACCAATCCACAAAATTACAACTATCTTATATTTGATAAAGGGGCTAAAAGCATGCAATGGAGGAAGGATAGCATCTTCAACAAATGGTGCTGGGAAAACTGGAAATCCATATGCAACAAAATGAAACTGAATCCCTTTCTCTCGCCATGCACAAAAGTTAACTCAAAATGGATCAAGGAGCTTGATATCAAATCAGAGACATTGCATCTGATAGAAGAAAAAGTTGGCTACGATCTACATACTGTGGGGTCAGGCTCCAAATTCCTCAATAGGACACCCATAGCACAAAAGTTAATAACTAGAATCAACAAATGGGACTTACTCAAACTAAAAAGTTTTTTCTCAGCAAGAGAAACAATAAGAGAGGTAAATAGGGAGCCTACATCCTGGGAACAAATCTTTACTCCTCACACTTCAGATAGAGCCCTAATATCCAGAGTATACAAAGAACTCAAAAAATTAAACAATAAGATAACAAATAACCCAATCAACAAATGGGCCAAGGACCTGAACAGACACTTCTCAGAGGAGGACATACAATCAATCAACAAGTACATGAAAAAATGCTCACCATCTCTAGCAGTTAGAGAAATGCAAATCAAAACCACCCTAAGATACCATCTCACTCCAGTAAGATTGGCAGCCATTATGAAGTCAAACAACAACAAGTGCTGGTGAGGATGTGGGGAAAAGGGTACACTTGTACATTGCTGGTGGGACTGCAAATTGGTGCAGCCAATTTGGAAAGCAGTATGGAGATTTCTTGGAAAGCTGGGAATGGAACCACCATTTGACCCAGCTATTCCCCTTCTCAGTCTATTCCCTAAAGACCTAAAAAGAGTATACTACAGGGACACTGCTACATCAATGTTCATAGCAGCACAATTCACAATAGCAAGACTGTGGAACCAACCTATATGCCCTTCAATAGATGAATGGATTAAAAAATGTGGCATTTATACACAATGGAGTATTACTCTGCATTAAAAAATAACAAAATCATGGAATTTGCAGGGAAATGGATGGCACTAGAGCAGATTATGCTAAGTGAAGCTAGCCAATCCCTAAAAAACAAATTCCAAATGTCTTCTTTGATATAAGGAGAGTAACTAAGAACAGAGTAGGGAGGAAGAGCATGAGAAGAAGACTAACATTAAACAGGGACGAGAGGTGGGAGGGAAAGGGAGAAAGAAGGAAAATTGCATGGAAATGGAAGGAGACCCTCATGGTTATACAAAATTACATACAAGAGGAAGTGAGGGGAAAGGGAAAAAAGGGGGAGAAATGAATTACAGTAGATGGGGTAGAGAGAGAAGATGGGA